CCTCAGTTTCTCATCTGTAAAATGGATGTAGATCTCATTTCATGGAGCTCTGGTGACTAAGCAAGAGGGTGCAGGGTAAATGCTGAGCGTGTGTTGAGAAGGGGCTTGGAGGGGACTTAAATGATACCGTGAATCGCAAGGTGCTTGGGATGAGGGGTGTTGTCTTTGGGAGAGCTCTTAGCTGAACCTGGCAGATGCTGCATGGATTGAGGACTGAGGGCACCTGTCCTCCCAGCCACTGCCCCTTGTGTTTAAATCTGCCCCCTACACACACACACACACACACACACACACACACACACACACACAATCAATTTCCTTGATGGTAGTCTCTGGCCCTGTTCCCCAGTGGCCAAGTCCTGACACTTGCAAACTTCAGTTCTTAAATGGTCAGAAGAGTCAGGCTCTGCCGGGCCCTTGCTGTGTGCCAGGGACCCCGCTATGTTCCTTGGCACATATATCTCATTTATTGCTCACAAGAGCCCTGTGTGGCAGGAACTTTTATCAACCACATTTTATAGAGGAGGAAACTGAGGCACAGAGAGTTTTACTCACTCTCATGGCATCCAAGCTTTAGACTACCTCTGTGTCCCCAAGCAGGGATCCTAAGGGTGTCCTTGTGTGTCAGCCTCTTCAACTTGTTCTGTTCCCCGTCTTACTCAAGGGTCCAGTCCAGGGGGAGGGAAGGGAGATGGCCTCAGCCCCAGGCCGTGGAGGGAAGACAGCGAGCAGAGCTGGAAGGCCCATAGCTGTTACTTTGCCCAGGCTGATCTCGTCACAAAGAAAGTGACTCATCCAAGGCCACCAGTCTCAGCGTGGGGACTGACGCCCAGAGTTTCTTCCCTCCAGGGTGTGGGCTCAGGAGCCCTGTGCAGATGTTCACCCCTGCCTTGTAGGTGGAACAGGTCTGAGCTCAGTGGTTGGCGTCTTCTTCCACCCTGTGTCAGCTATAGCTCCAGGGCTGGCCCCTCTCTGATCACTCCAAGGCCACTGTCCTGCCCAGGCTTGGGACATAGGAAGCCCTGGGTTGCTTTTGGTTCCTTGAATAAACTGGATAGCAGGCAAGAGCAGAATGCTTTAGGGGTCACTGGAGGAGGCTGGGACCTGGAGTCAGACAGCTGAATGTGTCAATTTCCCGCTGTGTCTCAACCTCTGTGGGTCTCAGTTTCCCCATCTGTGAAATTGGGACCATCGGTGCTGACCTCACGGGGTTGTTTTGATCATCACCTTGGCTGACTCAGGGAAGACTCCTGTCTTCCCTGGGGAGGGCACATACATCCTCGTACCTTGGCCCCTGCCTGCCATCTCCATGTCCTTGAACCCTGAGCCCCAGCAACACTGATGACCGGCCTTGTGTCCTGGCGTGTTGTTTCAGCCTGCACATGCTTGCTCATGCTGGGTCCCAGCTCAGACGCCCTCTCTTCCCTTCCTCTGGACAACTTTCCCTCATCCCGTAAGATTCAGTGTAAATGCCTCTTCCTCCAGGAAGCACTCCCTGTTCCTACCCTCTGGACTTCCCTGTTCATCCTGCACCCAGAGCCCTTCCCTAAACTGTGCTGAACTCCCTAGGTGTGATGACTTAAGAGACAGGAGCTTTGCATCCCGGAGTTGAGATTCAAATCCCAACTCTGCCATTTGCCAGTGATCTTGGGCAAATTATCTGACTTATTTGTGACTCAGTTTACTCATCTGTAAAATGGGGAGGATAATAATAATAAAAGCAGCCTGCCTCTTAGGGCTATCACAAGGATTAAATTTCTTAAAGTGTAGATGATCTTGAGTCAAAGAAACCATCTAATCAAAAAAAAATCTTTGAAACAATCAGTGCAATTTGAATGTGGACTGGGTATTAACTTAAAAAAATTACAAAATGGTAACTAATTTTTATCAGTGTGATAATTGCATGGAGGTTGTATGTTTTTTTTAAATCCTCATGCTTCAGAGACACACTGAAGAATTTCAGGTAAAATCACAGGACATCTAGGATTTGCCAGATTTTCAAGAATAAAGAGCATGCTTATGTGTGGAAGCAACAGACGAAACAAAATCAACAAAGTGATGATAATTATTAAAGCTGGTGATGGGTGTGTGGGTTTGTTATATTATTCTTCCAACTTTGGTGAATATTTGAGCACGTCTCTAACAAAGAACACATTTTAGACTTGGAGATTATGTACGTGTGTGTGTGTGTGTGTGTGTTTAAAATATACCATTCAGTGTTTTTGTTGTGGGTTTCTCACAACCCTGTAAAGACGTAAACACCATGCTTGGCCTTTACCAGAACTCCAGGAGCCCGAGGGCTGCAGTTCTGGCCTTTGCTGCAGACGCAGGTGCCGATTTTACACCCCTGTGTCCTCAGAGGCTGGGTGTTCTCCGGGGCTTTGCCGTCCTCGCTTAGCCCTGCGCTTGCAACTCAGGGCTCGACACCTGGCTTCCTGCGCGCTCTGCTCTCCCGTGTAAAGTTGACTTCCCCGCCCAACGCTCACGAGGCTGCCTGTTTATAAAACCAATTAGTTAGAAGATCTCAGAAAACCTTCCACATCCCATCACATGCACCAGGCCAAGGCTGAATCAGCCACGGGACCTGCACGTCCCTGGAAGCCGCCCTCACAAGGCTCCGGGCACTGCGGGGCAGATGAGGGCCTGGAGTCCCAACCTTTTTGGCACCAAGGGACCATTTCATGGAAGACAATTTTTTTTCCACGGATCGGGGAGGCAGGGGGTGGTCTGGGGATGATTCAAGTGAGGTACATGTATTGTGGATTTTATTTCTATTATTATTACAATGTTGTTATATGTAATGAAATAATTATACAGCTCACCGTAGGTTGGGGATCCCTGCTCCAAGCCCTCAGCACAGGCGCCTTGCAGGGTTTGGAGCTTTCCAAGGTGGTGGTCTGTGCAGGGCAGCTCTCCCAGGCCCCACGTGAAGGGCAGCCCCCACCAGGGGCCGGGGTACAGGGGCCTGGGGGTGCACTCCCCAGAGGTGCTGGGAGAACAGGTGTTCATTGCCTGTGGCTGACTTAGATCCACGCCAAATGTAAAAACAAGGCGGCGGGGAGGGAAGGTGGGCCCACAGCTCTGGGCTCAGGCCCGTCTGCATTCTCCCACTGCCCCCACGGCCTCTCTGTTCAGTAAAGCAGTGAACAGAAGTCACTTCCAGCAGGGCAGCCCTCTCCTGAGAGTCCCCAGGGCCCACGTGGGGCCGGCTCAGACCATTCCTGCCTCAACGCTGCCCCCTTGTGGAGCATCTGGGTTTGGCTCTCAAACGCAGGCAAGCCAAGACTTCTGCCCATCGGCAGTGTTCATTGAGCACTGGCCCAGGGTGTGCCAGGTGCCTTGCTCGGCACCGAGGAGGTGGAAAAAGGCAACCCATGCCTTTTTCCCATGCCTTGTAGAGCCCTACAAGAGGCTCTCCGTTCCTCTTCCGGGGGCCCTGGGCAACCAGGGCCCAACTCCGTTACAATCCTCCCTGTGGGCGAGGACCTGCCTTGTCCACTGAGCACCAGGCACACAGTAGATGCTTGGTGCACGTGTGTGATGGGCGGGTGGAGGAACGAATGCATGGAGGTGAATGAATGAGGGAGTCGGGCAGCATGGTGACTACAAGTGCAGGCTTTGGAGGGACACGTGGGTCTCATGCCACTTCCCAGCTGCAAGACTTTAAACAAGTTACTTAAGCTCTCGGCCTCAGTTTCCCCTATCTGTGAGATGGGGATAATATTACTAACTGCTCATTAGGGCTGCTGGAGGATGCTGTCATCACCACCATTTGACCAACAAAGGAACAAGCTTGGCCCCAGGTCTTAGAACTGGGAATGACAGGGAGTGGGGGCTGCCTAAGAGGATCCCCTCCCCGCAGATACTGTGCCCTTTCGTGCATCCCATGCCCTGTTCACCAGTGAGCCCTTGGGTGGTGCAGCCCACCATGGCCGGCCTCCTACTTGCTTCTTCCGTGCCTACAGCTAAGCATTTTTTATAAAGATGAATTAAAACTATTGTGCAAAGGTCAAATTCTAGACTGACATCTTCATAGGCCCATTTTCAGAGAGCTGAAATGCACTATAAAAGCCATAGTTACCACTCACTTTTGAAAGTTACCTCAAAAATACATTGTCACCTTTCCTACAGGGCCTTTATTTTTTTCCCCCTATTTTAATCAACTCAGGTTTGCCCAGTAGGTGTGATTGAAGGGGTCATTTCACTGCTTCCAACCTGCATGCTGAGGACCCTCTCTGTCCAGATGGGTTGAGTAGGCAACACTCAGGGGCTTATCATTGGGAGCTACGCCTTTTTATATTTTTCTCATTTTTCAACCGTTTTCACACCAAGGGCAAAATATATAATTTTCATTCCACTGTGAAAGACCTGAGCAGCGTGTGGCCCGAGGGATCCCAGAATGGTGTGTGTCCGCAGGTCTGCCCGGACTCTGTGGGGACGCAGTCCAGGGGCGTCGGTGGGCAGTGCACAGAGGTGCGAATCACACAAAAGTCAGGCAGGCGTGAGGAAAGGAAGCCGGCCGAGGATGCCTGCCACACTTCTCCCCTCCCCTGCCCAGGGTTCTAGGGCAGTGGTTCTCCTTCCCATAAAAATCGCCAGGGGTCACAGGTCAACCTACAGATTCTGGGCCCCGGCCTGGAGGAACTGAAGCCGAGCGTTCAGAGAGGGCCCCAGGAAGCTGTGTCTGACAAGTTGCATAGGCCAGTGGTCACTAGATCCACCTGGAGAGATCCCAACGGCCAGGTGCCTCCCCAGGCCACTCAATCAGGATCTGTGGGGACAGTGGCCCGGCATCAGTGTATGAAAGCTCCAGGCTGGTTCTAAAATGCAGCAAAGTTCGGGAACTCTCAAGGTAGTTGGATTCTGTTGGAGGTTTCCCGACCTGGGTAGTTGGGAGGGGTCCCTGAGGAGGGGTCTGCATGGGGTGGGTGGGCTGGGGTGTGCAGGCTGCAGCAGGAGGAACTGGGCAGGACCCGGCTGTGGGGCCCTGGGCATCTTGCCCCAGGAAGCAGCTCAGAGTTGTCACCACCTCATGCCTTCCCCATAAACACAGTGGTATCTGCAGAGTCTAATTCCAGAAGTACATCATAAAAGAGACTTTTATGTGAACATCTGCAATTTGGAAGCGCCAAGGCTGTGTTTTTCTTTCTCTGGCCCCAGACAATGCTCTCCTTGATTTGCAATGTTTTTTATTTCCTTTTTTCCTCCTTAGCTTCTGCTGTTGGAAAGAATGATCTGGCTCCATAGGGCAGTGTGTTTGCAAAGATCAGTTTCTCCATCTGCAGAATGGGCCCAGTCACCCCAGCTCGGGTAGCTCATGGTGGATAAGAGGACAGTAGTCAGGACCAGAAGCAAAGCATTTGAGGCCTTTCTTGATCTGTGCTACCCATTGAGTCCACCCTCATCTGTCCCAGCCTCCACACCCTCCCACCTCCACCCTGCGCCCACACGAGGCCCCGAGAACTAGCACACGTGCCAGCTCAGTGCACTTGCACCTGATCCTTGTGTGTGGGTGCCCTCCTTCCTCACCTCTATTCCTCCTCCTCCTTCAAGCCCCACGGCGCAGTTCTCCACCCTTGAGACTCTCTCGCCATCCCTGGCGCACACAGCTCGCCCCTCCTCTGTTCTCCCAGGAGCAGGGCCACTTGGTTCCCCCACTGCCTCCCAGCACACAGTGCAGCACCTGGCACAAAATGAAAGCAGACTAGAGATGCGCTGAATGAACAAACGAGAGGGAAAATGAATGAAGGCATGTTGGAGAGGATGCCATCATTACAGCGTTTGTTGCACTGAATTGCAATCGTCATTTATGTCTGTTGGCCTCATTAGGTGAGTCAGTGAGGCGAGGAACTCTGTCTTTGCACCTTTGCTTCCTTGCGGCCTAGCACAAAGCCTGGCACGAAGTAGACGTTCAGTAAGCCTGTGTTGAGAGAATGAGTGAGGCGATGTACATATCCCTGGCTGAACTGTCAGCCCCTGGGGACACAAACCACTCCCATGCTAGCCACCTGTGTTCCTGTGTGCACACAAGCACGAAGAGGGGGGTGGGCAGATTATCAGAAGTCTGGACTTACTGGTGACCTTCATTCACACACCCTAGGTGGCTGGACCTAGATGCTGGACAAGGCAGCCAGGACTCAGAGGGACAGTCACCCACCCAGTCTGCAGGTTTCCCCACGCACCTGTCCAGGACTCTCTGCCCAGGCTGTCTGGGAGATTTCTTACCACTAGATGGCGCCAACAGCAAGGGCTGGCTCAGCGGACTGCCCGGATTCCATCCTGCACTGCCCATGGGCTCATAAGCAGTGTCCCTGTGCAGAGGGAGGCCTTCGCTGTGGCTTCCCTTAGCCAGCTGCATGCCCTGGCACCTCCAGGCAGGTACTTGGGAAGGAAGCTTCCTTCTGGGGACCTCTAACTTGGGATGGAGACAGGAGGATGGATGAGTGGGGTAGCCCCCAGATAAAAGCTTACTGTGGCTCAACTCGAGCGTCCGGCTCTGTCCTGGGCACGGCGGGGCGGGGGAGAATGTGCAACCACATCAGTGCCAGGCCCTGCTTAGTGCTCCCGCACGCCCAGTGCACCTCCCAACTGCCCCTGGGGCGAGGTGGGTGTGATCACGCCCACCTTGCAGATGGATGCTAACGATCGGACAAAACAGGACGCTTGCCCGGGACCACGGGGAAAGAACCCACATCTGCCCGGCTCAGGCCCCTTGTTTTATTCTTGACACCCAAGCGTAGAGCTGAGAGGACAGGTCTGGGTTCCAGGATGTGATGTCCAGAACATCAAGTGACACCAAAGCCCTTTTTAGCCAACAATCCCCCATCCATCCGTCCGTCCCAGCAGCCCACACTTGTGAAGCCCTGCTGTGCACCATCTGCGTGTCTCAGGCACACAGAGAGGGGCAAGGCCCAGACCCTGTCCTTTACAAGTCCACATCCAGTGTGGGGGCAGCACCTCTGACTCAGCACAGGGAAGGCAGGGAGGGCTTCCTGGAGGAGAGGACATCTTTATTCCTTTGCCAAGAGCACATCCTGGCAGCGTGAGGACTCATCAGAGGATCTGTTGGTGCTTAGGAAGCTCCAAGTCTTCTAGAGTTGTAGCCAGACAGGGAAAACCTCTCTCCAGTGTCGAAAAGAGAAGGGTGTGTGTGTGTGTGTGTGTGTGTGTGTGTGTGTGTGTGTGTGTGTGTGTGTTTGACTGGTTTTACTGATTGAGGAATTTGGGGGTTTCCTTGTATCCTATTGTGTTTTTGAGGAGGCACAAACAAGGGCAGTCACATAACACCTCCCAGGCAAATGGCAGCCAGCGCCGCCAACCCCAGAGAGCTTTGTTCTCCGCCAGCCAGGCCTTCCCAAGCCATGGCGCCCACAGGCCACCCTCCCTGAAAGGGGTGGCAGGCATTATTCTCTTGGCCATTCTGGGGTCTGTCTTGGCCCTAACAGAGAAGCCACCCATCTGTCGCCAGTGAGGACAGGCAATGTCAGGCACCCTGCCCTGGTCCCCATGGAGTTCAAAGGCACAACATCTAAAACACACAAATGTCTAATTACGAAGCGTGCTTGGCGCCTTAAGCAAAAACCAGGCACTCACAGGTCTGGCGGGTCAGGAGAGTCCATCAGGGCCTACAGGTGATGAAAGCCCCAAATCAGGGTTTGCCTTTTTGGCTTTCAAAGACCCTTTAGTCCTTGCAGCAGTATTGACTGAACTTACTACATGCCAGGCCCGGGACCAAAAGTCAGACTAACTCAGCAGTTCAGCAGGACTCTGGTCCTTCCCCCCCAGCCAAGCGTGCAAGGCTGGACCCTGCTCACCTGGACAACGTGACTCTTGCCCTGGTGCTCAGAGAGTGTCCCTGCCTCCCGAGACGCCTGGAACTCGGCGTGGTACTCAGTGCCTCAAGCTGTAATAAACTGCCACTGACACCTGCCTCTTCCATCAGCTGTGGGGTCCCCAAGCACAGGGAATTTTTAAATTCATCTTCAAATGCCTAAAACTTAAGAGAGACTGTGAGCTAGCTCGGCAGACGTTCGTGGGGCGAACGAAAGAGCCCAGAGGAGGCAAAAGTAAAGGGCGTCACAGCGAGAGTCAGGAGACACGTTTGTGCCTGGGCCTTGGTGTGAGCAGGAGTGTCCTCCTCCCTCTCTGGGTCCGGGTTTCCTTCTCTGTGAAAGGGACGAAGACTGTGTCTGAAAATCCATCTCCGCACCGGGCCGCCACGCAGAGCGGATGCAGATGTGTCAGCCCGTAGATCAGGCTCCCCGTTCCAGATGGAGGGCGCGGCCAGGAGCCCAGCCAGGCCCCGCGCCCACCCCTCGGCAGCCCGGGCTCACCTCTGCTCACTGCAGGGCCCAAGCATCAAGGCTGAGAAGCCCTGGACAGGACGCTCTGTGGCGCAGGAGTGGGAGGCTGGCAGGAGGCCTGGCTCTGGCCCTGTTCCCCGTGTCCTCGGGCGGTGCTCCTCCTTCTGAGGACCCAGGTCTCTTCTGGTGTTCAGAGCGAGGGGCCCAGACGGGATTGAAGGAGGCAGCCAGCAAGGCCGGGAAACGGCGACTGGATCCCGCAGACGCGAGCAGCTTGAAGCTCCCGCACTCAGACCCCGGGGCGCCTCTCGGCCCGCTCCTCAGGGCCAGTAGCTCTGTGGGCCCTGGTTTCCCGTCCCCGCTGGCTGGCTGGCCCATTGTTACACCATCCTACTTGCCGGGACAAAGATGACATCATTGGCTGGGGGTGGGAAGGGGATATTGGTGGTGGGGGGTGGGGTGGTCCATAGCCCTGAGTGCAAAATACAAAGACTCCTCTATGCAGGGCTTGAGCTGGCAAGGAGGAGCCACGCAGGCTGGGGACATCCAGGTGGCAGGAGCTATAATGTCACACCTGCTGCCCCACTCCACCAGCCGTTCCTGATGCTCAGAGGGGAACGTGATAATAACAACAGGTCTGCTGGTGAGACCTGTGTTGAACAGGGGTCCCCTGACTCAGCGAGGCCTTAAGAACCCTTGGGGGAGTAAAGAGGGTGGAGTGGGGCTGCAGGTCGAAGCAGAAGGGCCCTGAGCCATGAGCCCAATGTGGCTGCCTGACCCCCAGCAGGCTTTGGACCTCTCCGAGCCTTAGTCCCTCTCTGTAAGATGAGGCCAGTCCCTTCCTCTGGGGCTGTGGGGACCACCAGGAAGGAAGGACGTGAGGGTGGGGTTGAGAATAATGTGATGAGAACCTTCTGGATACCAGGAAGATGGGAGTGTGGTGCAGAGCCCCCTGCCTCGGCCGCCCCCCTGACCTCTGCCCTCCCCCCGCAGGCCCTCTCTCCAGCCCCCACCACCATGACCTTCACCCCAGCACCCCTCGAGGACACATCCGCACGCCCCCAGTTCTGCAAGTGGCCGTGCGAGTGCCCAGCGTCCCCGCCCCGCTGCCCGCTGGGGGTGAGCCTCATCACAGACGGCTGCGAATGCTGTAAGATGTGCGCCCAGCAGCTCGGGGACAACTGCACGGAGGCCGCCGTCTGCGACCCCCACCGGGGCCTCTACTGCGACTACAGTGGGGACCGCCCGAGGTACGCAATAGGAGTGTGTGCACGTAAGTGAGACCTTCCCCTCCGCCCCCCACCCCCAGCACCCCAGCTCTGGCCCGAGGCCCCCCTCCCTGGGCACACCCACAGCGGTTTCCCGGCCAGGCTTCTGCTCGGGAGGTACCCCCAGCCCAGTCCAAGGTCAAAGGCCAGAGGCTGGGCCTTCCTGGGGCGAGAGGGACTGCACTGGTCATACCTGCAGGACCTGGCTCCTTGCTCTGTTCTTGGTCCTGGAGGCACACTCAGGGCTGTCCCCAGGGAAGACACAGCCACCACGAGAGACCTAAGCCTAGTTTTTTCTCCGAGTGGTAGGATCCTTCAGCAGATGCTCACAGGTCCCAGGGACTGCACAATTCCAGACACTGTAATAACATTGTAAATGAAAATGATATGGTTTTACAAAATCCAGTAGCCTTGAAAGAATGAAAACCAGCAGTGAGCAGCCATTCCTTCCTGCCACCCCACCCATGTTCCTCTGGTTACTACGGTCACTTTTAACTTTTTAGCCCTTTCTTCTGATGGCTACCACTACATATCCCATGTCTTCTGCTGTCTCTTAATTAGCTTGACATATCAATTTTGTATATATTATTAATATATTCCTATATGATGACTTAGCTCCTCCATACCACCAGATACTTCCCTGTATTTCAAATATTGTCATAATTTTTGGCTATGCAACCCTCAGTGTTTACAATGTTATGATCATGGAAATATAGTGCAGTATAAGTATAGTGTACTGGTCTGAATTTTCTCTCTTATGATGCCTATTGTTATTCCTGGAGTTTCTAGTTGCCTTTGCTTTCTCTTTACTCTTGGTCTATGATAGTGTCTTCATGTTCGGAGGGAGGCCTGTTGCTGTTTGTTGTTTGTTCACTCCTCAAGTGTTCCATCACGGGTATTCTGTCCTTTCTCGTTCCCAGAGACCTCATTTCTGAGACTTTCTGACATCCTTCTATCTGGACTTGTATTCCCTTAGCTTGAATCACCTGAACATTACCTGGAATACAAGGCCCAGCATGACAAAGAGAGGTCGCTAGGCATTATGACACAGCAGCCTAACTTCTGAAAGGTTCCACAAAGTCTCAGAAACCCCAGAGCCCCCTTCTTCCCTCTCAGTGTTGAATCAAACCTTCCCCATTACCAGGGCTCCATATACACCCCGATACCTGTTCCCGTACTGCATAGTCTCTTACCCTCAGCTAACCCATTATATTTCCTGCAGTTGGTTGTTGATGAGGGTTATACACATAATTCCCAGTCAGACAGCCCTATCTGAGCCTCATGGTCAATCTATGGCACTTTCTTGCCACTTTCTTTCTTTTATCATGGGTTGGTTCAGGCTTCAACTTTCATACCAAGTCATGTGTCTTCAGCTCTGTAAGTAACCACCCCACTTCCTCCCATCCTTCCAGTTTTATTTTCCTTTTATTTAGCAGTATGTTCAAAGAGAACTTGCAGCATCACCTGCACAGAATCCTCTGATGTGCTGGCTAAAAATGTTACTCCTGAGCCCTACCCCACACTTGTTGAGTCAGGTTCTCTGGAAGTGGGGATGGGATCTATACCTTTACCGAGACTCCCAGGTGGTTTTCATGCACGCTGAAGTTCAAGACTGACTGCTGATACACACACAGTCCGTCATCTACCCCCCCCCTCGTGACCCAGGCAGGGAAGCCTGGCCTGGGTTTCCTGCACTAGAACCATCTGCCTCACAATGTCTTTCCCTTTTCAAAAACATTCTTCAAGATCATTAAAAAAGTTATTTTGTTCATTGCAATTATATTAATCTCTAAAGCTATATTGAGATTTCATCATGTGCCAGGCACCATAAATTTATAGACATTCTCTCTTGGACCCAGAGGTTTATGGGCCAAGAAACTGCCTCTCCCACCTGCCTTCCCCATGGGGGGGGGGGCTGGAAACCACTTTTCCCACCCCCATCCTTAACTGTTTGCATCTCAGTCCTGCCTTCACTTACTATATATAGCTCCTTGACTTGCCAACACCATGAGCCTCTGTGTATTTCCTGTTCTTTTATTTGGAAAAACAAGCAAAAACTATGGTCCAAAGGAGATTATAATAGGTGATACACTTACCGTGGTTTCGCTGGTCAGGGAGGCTTGAGATAAGTATGACCAAATAGGAGTTACAGAAATTCTCAGAGGCTTCAAATGTTCATGTCCATTGTTAAATTCCGAAAGGGAACTATCATGAGCTCCACAAGAAGCTTTTTCTTTTCTAAAAGAGTGGAACACTGAACTCTTGTCCAGGCAGACTCTGATCCATTGACCTCAACCCCCACACACATACATACACACATCACATGCACATGTGCACACACAAACATACACCTCACTAGTGCTCTACCGCAAATGTTCCCAGAAATGCTGCCAGAGTGTCTGAATGAGTTCATGAGACCCTAGTGAAGAAAGAGGAGAGTCTAGGGAGGGTCTATAGGTAGAAGAAGAAGGCATTTCTGGGCCAGAGGGAAAAGAGAAAGAAGGGTCCCTCTAATAAATAGACAGTCTTTTAGCAAATGGTCCGCTCAGCCAATGGACAGTCCCCAAGACAGGCTAAATCTGTCCTTGGATATTTGCTTGTAATTAGGCCGTGACAAGGAGGTAATAACATGAGCAATTGAAACCCTGGCATGTATGGCTCAAACAGAAGACAGTGGGGAGTACAGCAACATGCTGAATGTGAGCCCTCGCTATCAGAGATGGCCCTGCTGTGCCCAGCCACGGTAAAAGAGTGAGGTCTTGTCTAGCCTGCTCTGTTTTCAAGAGAGTCTAGAAATCCAGATTTGTGTATTGTTTGTAAATGTTGGCAATGCATTCACAAATCTTTTAATAAACATTCTGTGGGCCAAACTAAATACATCTGTGGGCAGAGAGTGACCTCTGAATTAGACCATTCGGCTATTTCGGTTGTACAAACACCACTCTACATGTAATGCAGCTGGGTCAGGCCTGAGGGCATTGTGGTTTGCTGGAAAGATCTTATTTACAGGCAGACAGACTTGGCCCGGCTCTGCCACTTGCAAGCTACGTGACTGTGGACACATCACTTAAGGAGCCTGATAAAACCAACCTCACATGGTTGTTAAGGAATCAACAGGGAAATGCAAAAAAAAAAAAAAAAAATGTGATTGGCTGCTTTTAGTTTTTATTTTATTTGCTTTGTTCTAACTTTCCTTTGTAGAAGACATCTCTGTCTTGTCCGTGGTCATCCTAAGAGGAGGCGGCAGGTCTGGTTCTAGGACTAGACACCACAGTCTAAGGAAGCAGTACACTCATTCATGGTATTTGGAGCTAGACAACCTGAGTTCAAATCCTAGTATCATCATTAACTAGTACTATGATTTCAGGCAAACTACTTAACCTTTTAAGGCTGGGTTTTCTCATCAAGGACAATGTGACACAGAAAGCCTGCCTCTCTGGGGGGCTGGAATGCCAAGTGCCTGCTACATGGTAGGAACCCAGTAAAGATCAGGGCTCACCCCAGCTCACATCCATCCGTTGAACATTCAAACAATGAACATACATAGGTGAGTGACAATACAAAAATGGGGTTACAACAAGGCATGACCCACTGTCCTTGTTCCCACAGGGCTGACAGTCCTTGCGGGTGTGGGTGAGGGGAGTGAAGGCCCCGATGGCAGAGCAAGGTGACCTGAGTTTCTGGAAGTCCTTCAATAAGAGGAAAGCTAACCAGGTCACCTCTGGACTTGCAAGTCTGAGATTAAATAGGAGGCAGCGAAGGAAACTGGCTTCACCATCTCGCCAGGAGCAGTTTATTGGATTAGTTAGAAAGAAAGTGAAGGAGGAGGAAACTCTGGAGCCTGCTGATGGGGCCATCACGGCCACTGGGAGTCCCCATCCCTAGCCTGTCGCGGGCAGGCAGCCCAGAGCAGCGGCAGCACCACCCCCACCCCCACCCCACCACCACCACCCTCCTCCCAGCTCAAAGCCCCTCGGAGGCTGCAGCAGCTCCTTCTAGATGCAGTGCTTCTTAGCCTCCGCTGCAAACTGGATTCACCTGGGGAGCTTTAACAGCTACCAAGGCCAACAAAAGAAAAATACTGAGATGCAGGTCCACCCCCATGTCCTGAGGCATGATGTGGGCAGAAGAATTTTTAAAGCTCCCCAGGTTCCACTGCGGTTCCCATGTGCAGCACATGGTGAGAAACCAGACTCCAGGCACCCCGCACTGACCTCTCCCTCCTAAGTCTCCACGCAGGGGCTCAGAGCTGTGGCTTAGCCCTCTCCCTTCTCTCCACCTTCTCCCACATACAAACACACATGGGCCCATGCACGCGCGCGCACACACACATACACACACACATACACACACACACACGCACACACCCCTTCCTGGAGGGAGGGAGGGCGGGCAGGGGTGACTCAGAATGCAACGAGGAGAGACTCACCCAGCACTTCCTCTGCTCTCTCTCCTGCTACGCCCCCTCCTCCACTGGGTCTGGCAGGAGGATATGGGCTGTGGTCAGATCCCTGGGGTTTATCATTCGCCAGTTCCATGACCTTGATCAAATGAGTCGTTTAACCTCTCTGAACTTTCCTGTCCACCAAATGTGGAAAATAAAACTGTTCCCGTGAAGTGACCGGGAGGACTGAGTGAAATAACATATCCGATGGTGCCTGGCACAAGATCAGAGGGCCAATAAATAGCGTCCTTCCTTTCTGCACCAGCACGATAACCACCCCCAGGAAAAACAGTAGCCGTGGAAATGTTCACTCAGAGACTCTGCTTCCTGCTCTGGTCACCTGGGACTGGGGACTTTACCTTGCTGTGACTCAGTTTTGCTGTATGGAAAATGAAGATGACAACGTGATAGTGTTTCCTTAGGGAATGAAACATGTAACAAGCACGACACAGAGGGGACCCAGTGCCCAACCAGAGACAGTACTTACAAAACCTTCCTGCCTACTCGATATTAGGATTTATTATTAATAACCACCCTTAGGCAAACCCAGAGGACAGAACTATTGGCAGACTACAGATTCCAGATGCTCCTCCTCAGGTGGCACTCTTGCCACCCAGGGGCTCTCTGCCTGCGTTCCACAAACTGTCCTCAAGAGAGAACGCAATATCAGGGGTGACATCTGGCCCAGCAGCCCCTAAACTTGCCCTGGAGTGCTTGGCTGGCATGACCAACTCCACATAGCCACTCAGCCAGCATCTCATGCCTAATGAAGGACACTGGGGTCCACATACCCCAATCCCTGCTCCTGCTAGGAGGAGAGAACATCTCCCTCCTTCCAGGACTCAGGTCACAGGACTAGGAGTCATTCTTGACTTGTCTCCTCCCCCTCCTCCCCCCTCCTGCCCCCTCCTTCAGTAAGTCCTAGCAGCTCCTTCCAAATCTATCTAGAAGCTGTGCCCTTCTGCTCTCGGCTCTGGGCCTCTCTCTCATGCGCCTGGGTTCCTGGGTGGCCCTGACGCTACCCTTGACCTCTTCAACTTACTCTCAGCTCAGCGCAGTGAGTGTCCCTGTAAGTGGTTCACTCCCCCACCCAGCAGTTCCTTCTTGAGCAGCCCCTGGAGCAGCCCCTGGGAGCCAGGCACGGCTCTGGGCTCCCGCAGCTCTGCATCCTCCTCTGAGCCTAGGAGGAAGCCTTCTCTCACCTCCTCTCCTTCTCCCCCAACACCTGGCCCCCGTCCCATCCCAGGCCTCTCCTACTTGGGCCTTTACACCTAAGGGGCCTCCTCCCTACCTGGAAGGTTCCTCCCTGGGGCCCGGGCACTCCTCGCCTCCTGCAGACCTGCGCAGCAGCAGCAGCGCCTCAGCGAGGCCGTCCCACCCACCTCACTTGAGTTCAACTGTCCCCCACTCCCAACTCCCCCCGCTCCCCTCTTCTCCCAGGCACTTGTCACCATCGACTGCCGCCATCAGCATCAACAGCAGCACTACAGGCTCTATGTGTCTTTCCTCTGCCACCCCCACCACACTGTAAGCTCTTTGTCTATTTTGTCCACTATTCAATCCCCAGCACCTAGAAAGCTCCATAAATGTGCACTGAGTGAATGGAACGCGTGTTTCCAGGCATCCTGGCTTGGTTTACATGCCTGCCTCCCTCAGACCCATGAGCCCCAGTGGCAGGAGTTTGGCGGCACCAGGCTTTGTGCCAGGTGCTGGGGACACTACAGGGAGTAGGGCACTGGGGTCCCCGCCTGTGGGATGCCGTATCCTCTCACCCGGTGCTCAGCCCAAGGCGACTGGCGTGGGTGTCACTCCATGGGTTCTGGCTGACACTGTAAAGGAGCTCTCGCCCTCCCTGTGCCCGAGTCCCCCCCAGTGCCCACCTCACCCCTGCCCAGCCCTCTCAGCCTCCCTGCGTTTCCCCTGCAGCACTCACCCCTCTCTCGTGTTGGGAGACATGCCCAGGGTTCGGGTGTGGTCCGGGGTGGCCCTGCCGGGCCAGGGCACCGAGCCGGCTGGGCCTGACCCGCCGCCGCCTGTGTTGGCAGAGGTGGTCGGTGTGGGCTGCGTCCTGGACGGGGTGCGCTACGGCAACGGCCAGTCCTTCCAGCCCAGCTGCAAGTACAACTGCACGTGCATCGACGGCGCCGTGGGCTGCACGCCGCTGTGCCTCCGCGCGCGCCCCCCGCGCCTCTGGTGCCGCCACCCACGGAAGGTGAGGGTGCCCGGCCGCTGCTGCGAGCAGTGGGTGTGCGACGACGACGACGCCAGGAGGCCACGCAAGACTGCGCCGCGTGACACCTTCGGTGGGTGTGGGCCTGCTCGGGCTGCGGGCGGGCCTGAGGGCGGCTGCAGACCCTCCTGGAGCTCCGACCACCCAGGAGTGATTCATGCCCGCACGCCATTGCCCAGTCCACCACTCACTACATCTCCCCTGGAACCCTATTTCCCCGTCTGTAAAATGGAAATAACATCTTCTGTCCTGCCTATCTTATAGGAGACTCTGAGTGCAAAACAGAGTGTGTTGTAAAGAACAAAGCCCTACCCATGCAGCCATCATTATCCTACTGAGGAGTTTAGGGGTGGGGTGGGGATGGAGGAAAGGTGGGTGTGTGGGAACTTGGGGAGAGGAGGTGTGAGCAGGAAGAGATGGGTCTAGTAGAGAT